CCCCCCCCCCCCCCCCCAGGCCCCAATGCTCCACCCTGTTTCCACAAGCAGAATTCCAAATCAGACCTCCATTTTATCTTAAATTCAGGTACAGTGCAGAGCATAATAAGGTCTCACTTTCTCCAGAGTTGTGTTGTAATGTCTCTGAGCAAGTTGATAAGAAAATATCTATAAACGTGCAAATGTGATGCACCAGCCACTGGATCTTTCTGTTCACAGTGTTGTCAGAAAAATCATCCCGAGTTAAGTCTTGCGAGATAAAATTGGCATCAGTGTGACCGTCAAGATTCATTATTGTAAATCTGAGTCACTGTTGACAGTGGTGCAATGAAGCAAGCTATGTACTTATAATTTTAATAATGATTCTATTGATCAAATATTGCAATATGGTGGTCATTAGATTAATTCAAGGGAATATCATTAGCTTCAATGAATGCGTGCTGTTTTTGTGAATACATACGTTTGGTTTAGCTTGCCCGATAATAAGAGGCAATTGTAAATGCGCAAATTTGTGCACTTTAGACAATTTAAAAAGTTGGATAAAATTAATTTCCATGTGCATTTGTGATTTAACAAAATACTGATATTTGTCCAGACTGCAGCTTTGCGAGCGGTGGGAAATATTGTAACTGGTACTGATGAGCAAACACAAGTAGTCCTGAACTGCGAAGCTCTTTCTCATTTCCCAGGATTACTGACACATCCTAAAGAGAAGATCAATAAGGTAAGAAATATCAGGATTCTTCTCTGCCTGGCAAATTCATTTTTCCTATTTTGCACATCTACAGTTGCTTTGTTCCTAATGATTAAGGGTGTTAACATTCACACTATTTTGTTGGAAATGATGAAATGGAGATTATTGGCTGTGTGTCTGGAAGAGATGGAGTATGTTTTAAGGTGGTCATTTATCAATGGTAAGTGATATTTATTAAGGTAACTAATGTAAGATGTTGGAATTTCAGGAGTTCAAAATATGCTGTATTTTTTTGTGTGTGTGTGTGTGTGTGTGTGTGTGTGTGTGTGTGTGTGTGTGTGTGTGTTGGGGCGGCTGGCAATATGGATCTGATTTAATTTGTTAACATCAGTGCTGATATTGAAGTGCATCTGAAGGCAATCTCATTTCATATAAGGGGCCTAAGTGTGATTTTGCTGATGATTAGAGCCTCAAACAGTCCATTTTGCCAGCTTGGATATGCCAGAATTCTCCAACAGGGTGGCACTTCAGTGACCCTGTCAGCTGATCCAACAAGAGATAGCATTTAAAAAATAGATATCTAAGTAGGATCCTGAACTTTTATAACCTGCTTTGTTTTGAAAAGTTGATTCCACAGTTCACTCATACTCTGTACAAAGATACTTTCAAAAGTGAATCTGCTAATATCAATAATTGAAGTTCTTATTCTAAAGGCCAAAAAGCCTCAAAATGAGAACTCCACAGGCAAGTGTTCCTTGTAAATACAGTTAATGCACTCATACTTCTTGCTTTCTGTTTGTTTATTGTATAGGAGGCTGTGTGGTTTCTATCCAATATCACAGCTGGAAACCAACAGCAGGTGCAAGCAGTGATTGATGCAAACCTTGTTCCTATGATTATACACCTCTTAGATAAGGTGGGCAATTAAACTTGATTTTTTGTTTTTACATTATCATATAAAGCAAAATGTTTTATAAAGTTTGTTTTTTGAATTGATTTTTTAAGTAAATATGTAAATTCAACATATAGGGAGAATGACAGAATCTTTTCATATTTTAAATCTTGTTCAAAGTGGAAAAACTGCAACGGATATGCAAAAAAAAGGTCATGAGAGCAATGTTAAGACAACTATAGTAACTTGAGGACTTTTTGTAGTTTGGAAAAGAGTATGCTTGGATCCAAACATTGTTAAATAGTCTCTCAACATTCTTAGCAGTAAATCAATTTTACTTTGTGTTGAGTCAATTCTGGCTTACTTTTTCTTCCTCCCCAGGGTGATTTTGGTACTCAGAAAGAAGCTGCTTGGGCAATAAGTAATCTAACCATTAGTGGCAGGAAAGAGCAGGTAGGTAATAATTTATATGTTTAGTTAAAACAGCTGACATTTTCAGATCTTATCAAATTAATTTAAACTCTTGGTGGAATAAAGTTATAGTTTGTAAATTAAGACTCAATATGTGTAAATTGTTTTGTATAAATGTTTTGTCATTCCTGTTTTGTAAGAGACAAAAATGTTGTGGAACTGACAGTTACAAAATTTCTTTAGGTTGCATACCTGATCCAACAAAAAGTAGTCCCTCCATTCTGTAATCTGCTTACTGTGAAAGACTCGCAGGTAGTGCAAGTGGTATTGGACGGATTAAGTAATATCCTCAAGATGGCAGATGATGAAGCAGAAACAATAGCTAGTCTGATTGAAGAATGTGGTGGTAAGAATGAAATAATCTTAACCCTTTTATATTGCAGTACTTCTAAAGATTTTAACTCTTGACTAAACATTGTTTGTTACAGTTTGATATTTTATCCAGAGTCTCCCCTTATGTAGAGTTTATTTTCAGTCACCCAAGTCTTTGGGATAGTGTATGAAAAGAAACTGAGAATTTTGAGTAGGTGCACTTTTGAGTTAGCCTTGTCCATCTAATTGGCCATAGAGGTTAACTGACTTAACTCCAAAATTAGTAATATTTTAGAAAAACTTTATCCTCTTGTCTCTCTGCCCATCCTAGTTTTAATGTGAAATGAATGAGTAGCTATTTGAGCATTGTGCTATAGGATAATTAGTTGTAAGGAACATTTTATTCTCGCAGTGGTGGTGTTTTATTGATTCAGTATTTCCATTAGTCATGCATGTCAATAACTTGTTGGATCCCTCCGCAGCCTCTTACAACTGAGGCTTTTTCACGCATTTAGTGCCTCTCAAACTAAACAGTTTTGCTGAATTTAGTGGACTATGCAGCAGCACCATGCATTGCTATCCAGTAGCATTGCCCTGCAGCTCTAGTCTTGTGATATATAAATGATAACTTTTGGTCTGATTCTTGAAGGAAGTTCTAGCTAATATAGGATAAAGTCTAGGATAAAATGGATAGAGAGATAGAGTTTAAAGCCAGGACCAAATTTTGAAAGGAGAGTTTCCATTTAAATATCATCACCCTGGACAACTGATGAAACTTAACAATAAAGGAAGATTTTGAATGTTGGACCTTGGTATACATTAGAGTTATTAATTTTATTTTGATTCAGCATCTAAGTGCTGGGAATCTGGTGTGTTGTATTTGTTTCAGGCCTGAGAGATATAAAACAACGGAGTGAATAATAATACTGATTGACAGTTTCAAAAAAAAATTAATCAAGTCCATATTGTATGGAGCCATGAATCATGGACTACAGAGATGTGATAATCAAAAAATGTTTTTGTGTGGTGTCTTTTGAAACCTTGGTATTTCAAAGTGCATTTCAGCCAAACTAATATTTTTTAAAGGTGCGGCTTAGAATGTAGGGAAACGATAGTCAGTTGCCAAGCAAGCTTTCATGAATAACAGAGATATTTTGCCAGTGTTGTTTGAGGGGTAAATGTTCACTTCTCTACCAGGCTCTTCTCTTCACAAAGTACTGTGAAATTTTAAAATCCGGATGAGAGGATGGCCATCCCCATTGGTGTAAAGTGAAATATGGGAATGTTAATTGAGAATGTGTCTTTCTGTTTCTGCAGTAAATGTTGAACCTACAGTGTGTGCCCTGGTGGTTAACTCTTGTCAAACATTACCTGGTGACACTGGCTGCCATGCCAGACTCTGACCTCTCACTGCTGCATTTGCTGCAGAGTAAGACCTCGGCTTGAGAAGATGCAGGACTTGTCACCTTTTGGCTGGGTGTTTGGTTTTCTGAGCCTTTCATTTCTTTTTGCTTCTTGCAATGTCTGCCCAGTAGTCGACTTCCAGAGATCTCCACACATTGACACTGTCTCTCAGTTGTCTTGTCAATGCCTGTCATCTTTTGTAATATCACTCTTGGGTGTCCCGGTGACTCAATGGCCAGTTCATTGCACAGAAGTTCTTTGGGTGTACCTCGATCAACCATCTGATGAATTTGGCTGAGCCAGCACAGACATCTTTAGCTTACTAGTGTGCGTGCTTTTTAGCCAAAGTATCGTAGGAAACTTCCATGAAAGAACTGTCGGTAAAGTATGGCTCGTAACTATTGTCATCGTGCAGTACTGTGCTTAATACACAAAGACAGTCTTGCTTTTTTGTTCCTAAATTTTTAAGAAAAAGTGTGCAGCTAATACTCTCCAAATTCTCTTCAGGATTGGAAAAGATTGAACAGCTGCAACACCATGAAAACGAGGACATCTATAAATTGGCATATGAGATCATTGACCAGTATTTCTCAACGGATGATGTAAGTTTAAGGGGCACACGTATTAAACTACCTTTTCAAGTGCAATTAGGGAAAGGCAATAGATGCTGGCCTGGCCAGCAATGCCCACCACCAATGAAAGAATTTGAAATATTAAAATACAGAATATATGTTGTAGCTTGTCCACAAATCTTGCTTGATTTTGTTGAAGATTTTGGATCTTGTTTTTGTCAGTATTTATAGTGTTGAGCTTTATCGTTATAAATGTATACATAAAGACTGCATGTAAGCATTTTAGAATGGAAAGGCCTGTCTTAACAGACTGCAACAACAAACTTTTGAAATGTTAACACACAAATAGGTTGAAAAGCTTTATTGACAAAACCTCCCTTAAGATCCTATGTTAAATTTATATTTGTTTAAAAAATGTTGCCTGATTGTCACCTATGTTTAATTTCACTTAGAAAATGCAAACTCTTTACTGAGGTTTTGTGAGAGACAGACAGATGCATGCTGATAGACCTGCACAAGCAACTTTAATAATACAGTTGTATTATTTACAGACATCTGCAAGTTTCCACAATGGGACCTCCTTATACCCACAATACTAACCACATAATGCTCTGCTTTTGTCCTTGTTGACAGGCAGTAGCAATCCAAAAATGAGTCAAATCCCTTATTCCACACTTGTATCAAATTACAGATTTTGCATTTACAAATCTGCCAAATTCTAGGTACTCTTCTACAGTGAGATAATCCAAAATATCCCCCTCTCTATGCTGAAGAGCCATCCACATTCCACGTCCTAAATAGCGTTCGAAAATAGGTTTGGATTTCAGCCTTGCAGAGCTCAAGATTGCCTTTGAGCAGCTGACTGTTTCATATAATGAAGTTATAGATGCATGTCGAATTCATTTTATGTGGGGAGATGGTGAAATGATACACTTGTTCAGAAAGAGGAGGTTCAGCAGTATAAACCAAATGGTACAATATTAAATGGGGTACAAAAACATATTGGAGACACATTCAAATACATAAATCTTTGGTGACAAGAAGAGTTGAGAAACCTGTTGCAAAATTATATGGGATCTTTGGCTTTATTAATAAAGTTAGTACAACAGTCATGCTGAAGTTTTGTAGAATGCTGGTTGGGCATCCACTGGAGTATTTTGTAACTTAGAACACCATATTTTAGGAAAAATAGTGTACAATGGATTTACTAGAATAATACTCAGATTGTGGGACTTTAGTTATTTGGAGAAGCTGGGATTGTTCTCAGGCCAGAGAAGATTAGGAGATTTGATATTTGTTTTGATCAGGTTTTGATAGAATAAATAAGGAGAAACTTAGTACTGAAGATGGACCGGTAACTAGTGGATACTTTGACTGTAACGCAAATAGAAAATCCCGTAGAAACTTAGCAGGTCTAGCACTGACGGGCAAAAGATTGAAGGGAAAATGATGGGTATTTTTAATCTTGTGAATGGTTATGATTGTATTGAGAATGTATAGTCAAAAATGGAGAAAGCAGATTCAGTGGTAACTTTCCAAGGCAATTTGATATACTTTAAGGAAACAAAACAATAGGTTTGAGGGTCTAGGCCCGAAACGTCAGCCTCTCTGCTCCTATGATGCTGCTTGGCCTGCTGTGTTCATCCAGCCCTGCACCTTGTTGTCTTGTAATAGGTTTGAGGAGTAGGGGCAGGGGAGTGAAATTAATTGAATAACTTTCAAACAGCTGGCACAGGAGCCTTATTCTGTTCACTTTCATTCTAAAATAAACTGAACTCAAACTAATCACTTCTATTATTTTACTTGGACCAGAAAGAAGACTAATAATTAGTTTATCTGTGCTTATTGTTTCTGTTTTGTCACTTTGAATATGTCTGCCATATTAGATTGTTTATCGTCTACCGGGACTTCTCCATTATCTAGTGTTGTCTTCATAATGTCAGTTTCTCTCATCATTTTGCAAATGTCTCACCACTCTTGAATAAGTATTGTCTGGAAATGTGTGATGGAAACCCTTTCACTGTATCAAAGACCACTGTCCCTCCTTATTGTTTCTTCTATTTCTCATTAATTTTGCCTCAATTTTAGTTAGATCATGTTCCTGCCAACTTTGCCAATGATAACTTGGATGCAGAATATTTATTGTTGCCAGTTTTCAAACTTTTTTGCATTTTTATGGTTGCCTCATCTTGTTTTACATTACTTCAACAGTTAATATAGTGATAAGTTGTTACTGCTAGGTTTTGACTTAGTTGATATTTCCCTTTTTCTTTTAAGATTGACGAAGATCCTGCCTTGGTTCCAGAAGCAATTCAGGGTGGGACATTTGGGTTCAACTCATCCACCAATGTTCCAGCAGAAGGCTTCCAATTCTAGAAAGGCATAATTCCTGGAGCAAGTGAAATAATGCAGCACTAAAGGAAGGTTTGATCGATCATGCTTGGCTCATGTGGGATCCACTGCTGCATTAAATCGGAGAGCTGTTTTGCAGATTGCGTTTGGTGTCCGAGAAAAGCCCAAATGAAGTCAAGCTGGCGAGTGGGTGCGAGTGCGCGTGAGAATGGTAAAATGTTATAAAATTTCACAGTGAATGCAATTTCGGTTGTTTTAAAGAAAGGGGCTAAAAGTCAAAGAAAGGTCAATGTCCACGAAGTAACTAAACCAAGATCAAATTCAGTTATCTAGAATAATTAGAAGAATGAAGCAGTTAAGATAACTACAAGCTTCATAAACCAAGAAAGGGACATCGACAAGCCAGAAGACCGAGTCAAGGCCTTGCTATGAAGCACTGTGTGAATGGACCCACTGTATGAATGTCTGGACTCAGTGCTGTTGGAGCCAGGTTCATTACTTGAAATCTTGGGCTCTGTATTCACTCATGAAAATAAACTCCTAGCCATGGAGTTGTGTGTGGAAGAGAGTAGTGTATGGGCGTGATGTTGTATGTGAACGCATGCAAACTTGATTGCCTTCAAGTGGCTATTGAATAAATCCAGAAAAACACCAAAATGAGTTTGTTTTTATTAATATTTAACATACACTGGAGAATTTAACCGATTTAGCAGCAGTGCATTGTATAATTTATCTGTGGCAATTTAGGTTGAATCTTGCAGCTTATGCCATTTGCTTGTTTTACTTCCACCTTGGCCATTATAATTTTTTAATGTTTATACTACTTATGTACTTTATTTGTAGTTATGAATTGTTCCTCATTTAACAATTGCACCAGTTAAATCAATAAGTGCTGTGAGTTGCTTTCCACATAAATCACGAATACAGTGAAGAAATTAAGAAATATGTATTGGTAGTAAGCTGCTCACATGCAAAAATTTTGCAGAGGGGGAAAAAGAAAACCTGTATATGCTCTGCTGCTTATAAACATTGAAAAGTTGCCATTATTTAAATCTCAAACACCAACAGTGTTGTGGAGCTCATTAACTTTATTGTCATAACTTGGGTAAATAAGGTTGGCTAAGATAATCAAATCACATACATCTATCAATTGATGGCTGCTTCTGATTTATTTTAGCTACATTTTTAGTTAGTTCCTGTGTAGAACATAGCACCGTACCTCATGGGGTAAATGCTGTTTATAAACATTTGTTTCCTATTTTCCTGTTATTTTCCTGATTAAAATATTTCAGTTGTGACTAATTTTGGTGTATACTTTCTGCTAATGGGGGATTGATAAAAGTATGTATGGATGAAATAATCAAATGTGAAAACACCCTTGACATGTTTCATACTTTTAGGAAGGACTTTTTTAAAATTAGATACAAGTAGCCATGAACCATCTGAGCCACTTTAAAAAGAGTTTGATGTGCTTCAAGAGGCTTGCATGCAGACCATGCAAGTTTTTTTTAAAAAAAAGGAGAGAGCCTGGAAGATTGTTGGTTCTTTGGAGGTTTAGTACGTAAATTTGGCTGATTGTTGAGTTTTGTTTCAAGAAGGAAAAAAAATCTTACCCTCTTGGTAAGGTGGCTCATTGTAGGAAATACTGTGCCTTCTCCCTTAGAGCACAAGTGTTGCATGAACAAGTGTTACTGTATTTAAAACCGAAGGTAATAGTCACTAAGGGGAAATGTGAAAATGATTACCTGATTCCTACTTTGTGTTTGAAAATTTTTGGAATATTGTAGACTGGATTAAATATGTAGTTGTGATTTCTTTTGTAAATTAGTTGGTTTTCCCTTGAAGCATTCCTTGTCGTCATACACATGCTTTAAAAGCTAGACAAAAATTAAAACAGACTTAAAACTAGCTTGCTTACACTGTTGTCCATTAGAGTGCAGGCTAATCTGTTTTAGAGAAAAATAAACTTTGAAATTATTCTGTGTGGCCTGATGTTCCATTGTAGTATTAATGTGTTACATCAGGGGTTCTCAATTGGAGGGAGGGGGCTGTGAGAATTTATTTCTGGATCCTGTGAAAATAACCAATAGAAACTTGTTTCATGTGTCATCTCTGCACCATTCTTCTGTCCAATAATCTAACTCAGTTTGGGTTAGATGTGGCACATCTATTTGTTAATTTTGACACTTTGGACATTGATACCAAGCCAAGCAGTGCAGTAATTATAGATGAGATCAGATTGTAAGTGGGTGAGCATTAATCTGTTTCAAACATGGTGAGATATGATCATCTACAAAGAGATGCACCAAACCTGTCATGTCAGGCATACTTTGAGGTTGTCACCAACATTAAAAAATAGTTGATTTCTTCAATTTATTCAATAAGGAGTAGTATCCAGTGAAGTGTAAATAATCAGTGATAACAATTGTTACCAAAGGAGAGCTTCTTGTTTACAGTCACTACTCTTTTTAGCCCATGCCGGTAATGCTGTGGATTAACGCCAAGTTTGAATAGCTTGTCTCTCAAAAATTGGGGAAAATTGCATCTACAATTCATTCTCTTTAATTACAATGATATATACATACACATACATATCTTCGTATTCTTCCATATGCCTGTACTAATCGAATGTTGCAAAACTAATGCATTATCTCAAGACTCTTTCTTCACTTGCCTATTGCTATAAGATGTTAGCCCGAAACAGTGATGTAATGAAAAGCACCAAAAGTGAGCGTTGGTAAATAGGAACATCTTTTAATTCTGTAACACTTGTCCCCACAGTCATTAAGGAAAGCTTTTTAGAATCTCTTACCTTGTTGACAGAGCGCAAACTTTTCAGCTTCACCGACAGTTTCAAGCCCCTCACTGCAGTACTGAATAAGTACTGCTTTGCAGATTATGCAGTCAGTCTTCTAGCTGCATCAAGTAAAATGCATACCTTTTAAATATATTTATTTTTATACTTAAACACATGCAAGGAGGTTCCATGCATTGTTTATAATGAGTGAAGCTGGGGCCCCAGAAATAGTTTGAGAATCTATTACAGCCTAAGTTCCACAGGAGCTTTTACTATATTAGGAAATATTTCCTAATGAGTCAACTGGCCTTGATGTGTTTTTCAACAGTGTTCAGATTGTATGTATGAATTAGTGTTATTACACTTCTTCTCATGACTCAGTTGAGAAGATGTTTCCTTTCAGAAGGTGGATTCCCCATTGCCTTTTTGAAAATTTTTATTAGAGTGAATTCAAGAATTATATTTGACGCTAAAGAGCCCCACCTAACTTTTATTTCGGGTGGTCTGCCCCTTTTCAATTTAGAGCAAAGCGACCAACTTGATATCGCCTAATATTCAGAGCCAGCACTTTGTCTTTGCTCTCTAACCCATCTTGGAGTAGACCTAGAGTCTAATCCTTCTGGTTGAAATCAACCACTGAACTAATGATCACCATTCAGATGCATGCCTATCTGCTTGTTAACTTGGTACTTATACAACCTACTCTAGTCTTCGCAGTTTGGAATGGATTTAGAACCAATTACACATCTAACTTGAATGAGGATGGTATCTTTAAGCCAAAGGCTCCTTCTTTGATAACTACCTTTTTTTTTTCACTTTTGTTGTAATATAGTAGAAAGGTCATGTGTTACATTTGAAAGCTATTGCGTTCATGTAGAATGCCTCATATTTTCAGTCATCTTGTGTTATTTTTGAAAAATATTTTTGAGTTTACAAGTAGATTTTAATATTAAATCCTGTCTGTTTACAAAACAGAAGTGCAACTTGTGGAACAGATATTTGAGGAAAACCTACAAGGAGGATTCCAGGTACCACTAATAAGGCAGTAAAAGACTAAGCATGATCAACTTTTCGAACATCCAAATAGTACAAATGATGGACATCTGGGGAAGAAAAATTGTGGATCTGGCATCATTTCTGCAGAAAGAAGTTTTAATGTTTCAAGTTCAGGATCTTTTGACAGGTTGCATTCTGACAGAAGGTTATTGACCTTAAATGTTAACTTGGCTTCTCGACAGAAGCTTCCATACATGCTGATTTATTTTCAGCATTTCTTGTTTCAATAATATTTAGGTTATTGACTAGGACGATGCAGCCATATTGGAATTCTATTAGTATGTCTTCAGGTAAAGAATAAATTGAGTACTGTTTGTAACCTTTTCTTTAGGGAATGTAATATGTGATTCTATCCCACTAACACTTTTCGAAGCATTTTCTGTGGCAGAAAATAACAACATTGGAATGATAATGTGCTGGCATTTTCAGTAGAAACTGTCTTAATTATAACGAACAAATGTCATGGTGAAAGAGGAGACACCACAGTAGATAACAATAGTTAGAGATATGTTGGTGAACTTAAAATTGCTAAATTATCAGGACCTGCTCCCATAAATCTTAAAGATACTTAGACCAGTTAGGATAGAAATTTCAGAACCAGTGACTGCAATATTCTAATCCTCCTTACCTACAGGAACAATGCTATAATACTGAAAAATAACAAATATCAACATCCTTGCTCAGTGCGAGGACAATCCGGAAATTATAACTTTGTTCAGTCTTGATGATGGAAAAGTTTATTGAAGAAATAACCTGGGGAAAAAGTCTTTGGAATATCATGGGCAATTAAGTGGGTTGTTGAGAGCATATCATGTTTACTTAAAAATAAAGCAAAATATTGAGGATGCTGGGCCAACTTAATATCAGTGAAGAGAGAAGCGGTCCAATATGACATGTTTAGAACTGAAGAGAAATTGAAAAGTAATGGATTTTAAACCAATGGATTTTAAACCATTGAAAAAGGTGGGGAAAGAGCAAATAGATCAGAAGGGAGGGTCACAAAAGTGACAGGAGGGAGATTATAGTATCACAGAACAAAACAAAAGGAGAGTTGCAAAGGTTCAAGAGAAAAGGCCTAGGTATGTCTCCAGGAATACATCCAGAGTAGGTGTTAATAGCAAAAGTGGATCAGTTCTGGCTAAAAGCATAGCCGTGAAAACAACTAGGTATGGGTGTAATATCAACGTGGATAACAGAGTTGTAGTCTGAAGTTGTTGAAATCTAATTTCATGTGGAAGGCTATAAACTGCCTAAGTAAAATATATGGTGGTGTTTCCTTGGATTGTGTTGAGCCTCACTGGAACACTGCAAAATAACTAAGACAGAAATGGTAACAAGACTGTGTTTGTTTTATAATTGTGAGCTCAGTTGATCTTAAATTGATTGTGAATGTAATTAACACTCAGGAATGTTCAGTATTTTCTGTCCAGTCACTGTGACATCTCATGTTGTGTACCATGTTCCAAGTTTAGCAAGCTGGTTGAGTACAGTTAGTACTCTGCCTGTTGCGAAGACCCAAAGGGATATATTGTTTGTGATTCACCTGTCATTGAGATATTTGGCCTGTGTAATTGGCAATGAAATTCATATACAGCAAATGCTTGCTGAGCAATCCCAAGTGTGCTAAGAATTACAATTTAAGATCACCAGTTGATTTCATTTGCTCGTGTGTGCTATCCTCTGTAAGTGGAATATTGTTTTGACACAGGCTGAGAAAGCCAAATTAAGTCAGCTTCACTATCACTAGGTTTGCAACAGGTTGAAATTAAAATATCTGGTGACCCTCAAAATTGACCACTTGTTT